TAATACATCTATATTTATTCTCGATAGATTAATAATAAATAGATTGATAGTCTCATAGTCTAGTAAATGATAGATTAAAATCCCATGGTGGTAAAGGTATACTGCTACGAGGCATACAGTGACTTAGCATTAATAGATTAAATTGTCATAGTGTTAAACTTTAAGGTAGCTCTATATTCTAGTGGATACGCAGGATACGCAGTCAAGTAGTTATTTTGAGAACGAGGGATACAGTTAGATTAGCATTAGATCAAATTCTCATACTACAGGTAGCTCTATATTTTAGTGGATACGCGAAATACGTGGATACGCAGTCAAGTAGTTTATATTTTGAGATCAAGGCGACAGTTTGTTAACTTAGTTAGCATTAATAGATTAAATTCACATGCTATAGAGAGCTTACACCCGTTTTCAAAATTACGCGACCTCCCTGAAAAATACTCCTACTTCAAATGTCAGTTTTATGTCACAAGAACTGCTAAAAATAGCAAACGTAAACAAACTGTCTAAAGACATTTTAAACCGTATTTAATACCAAAACTGAACAAAAATGAGTCAGATAACTTAGATATACAAACTAAAGCACAATACAAACCATCACAACATAAATATGTGCCGTGAATGACTTTTAAAGTTTGAAAAATAACAATTTATCCTGGAATATAGCTGTCAGTATAAAACACGCGCGCTAGACTATGACGGTGATGTTATGATTTTGTCGTGCTTAAATTTTACAATAATTCTCACTAAAATATCTTGAAAATCATTGTAAGTCTGTTTATATAAAGCATACAAAGCATATACATCGAAAAGGAACCGCAAAACTCAAAGTTTGAACTTCGTGATCGAATGACATAAAACTAACATGTCAACTCTAGCATTTTCGTCTTTGGTCGCGTAATTTTGAAAACGGGTGTAAAGGTGATCTACAGTCCGTATGTAAACAAAACCTTTGTTTACATTTTTGCGTCAAAAATATTGACCTTTATTCGACAACTATTTATATTTTCAAGCTTCTAGAGTATAATAAATGATCAAGAAACAACAGTCAGGCTTTGCAAGAACCCAAAACATAGTTAAACTGTTTGTATCATAAAAAGTGGGCTCCTTTGTGCACATGCGCAGATCGGACTGTAGATCACCTTTAAATGTGGTGTAATATGTAAATATGTTCCTCCCAACCGGACATTGGTGTTTGACAGATTATGATTAATTAGCGTCGCTGGGAGGAAAAATTTTATATTATAAAGCATACTAAGCATAAAACATTAAAAGTCTTGCATGATATTTCCTTTATAGTTATCAATTCGTAATTGTTTCTGTATATTAGAACCAGGCAATAAGATCTGGTATATACGTATCCACTATCCAGTGAAATGTGGCCGGGCTACATGATATGATATCACTAGTGGACGGGTATTCTGCAATACTTCCATTTGTGGAAAGTGGTATTGATGGTCGCTTTGAATCTTCCAATGATTTCCTTGCGCGCTAGTTATCTTATACTGATTCTGTTCAATTGGGATGGTATATAGTTATAACTCGCAATAACAGTTCTTGAGTATTTTCGGAACCAGAAAAACAAGTTTGTAGATTTGCTGTAGCATCGCGAAGCAAATCTTTCTACAAGTGGTCGAAGACTGGAACAACGCGGAATGATGGACATATGGTATACCAGTGGATTATGCAGGGTACGAAGGGATCGATCGATAACGCGCGGAGGCCTGGACGCGGATCAATGATGCGTCCGACTATCAATGAGGAGTCCGACTGTCTACGGAAAAAATTTTTGCCAATGTCCAATGTCCGGTTGTGTCCGGACCAATGTCCGGACCAATGTCCGGTTGTGAGGAACATATTTACATATTACACCACATTTAAGCTCTCTATAGCATGTGAATTTAATCTATTAATGCTAACTAAGTTAACAAATTGTCGCCTTGATCTCAAAATATAAACTACTTGACTGCGTATCCACGTATTTCGCGTATCCACTAAAATATAGAGCTACCATGGGATTTTAATCTATCATTTACTAGACTATGAGACTATCAATCTATTTATTATTAATCTATTGAGAATAAATATAGATGTATTAATACATAGTATCCATGATGTTTGAAAGGCATAACTTAAAAAGTGGACGGGTTTTATGCAATCGCTCCGAAAAGAGTTACAAAAAACATTTACAAAGGTAAAGAAAAGAAAGTGGAAATGGCGAATATAGGCTTAATAAAATATGTTAGATGTCATCACCTGCTCACAAGATATGAAGCCACAATGTGTCCTGCTCAGATTTTGACATCTCAACCAAGCAATACAATATTTTGAAATCATCAATTGCGTGCGCAAGACACACTGGGAAGGCGCATCTAAGAAGAAGAGTATCCGCTGAATATTTTGTTTAAGGGCTATCAATGAGGAGTCCGACTGTCTACGGAAAAAAAATTTGCGACGACGACGGCCAAAACAAACTCCTTCAAATAAATGGTAGTAAAGATAATTCGTGTTATATTATCAATCGTATGAATTTAATACATGGGTTTTATGTTTGGGAAGAGTTCTGCTAGCTGAACCCAGTTTGAAGTTGCACTTGTTGCGGCTTGAAATGCAGCCGTTGTATCAAGACGTGAAAATCTGTGATTTGGTGTTGTAAACAAAGCGAGGAGAATGTCTAAATTATTCATATATTGTAATTTTTCAATTCTTTTCAATGATTTATTGTATTGGTTGCCGTCGCGTTGCCGTCCTAAATCGTAAGGTCTCTATTTAAAAATCGAGGAACCATCCAGCTGTTTATTGGTGCAAAATTTTCCGTAAAGGCCCTGTCACACTATTGCGTATCGTATACTTGGCGTATGCAAGCATATGGAAAATTTCAATCACACGGTGACATATGCTAGGGGTACGTTAGGCATAGGTTGTATGCGCTTCAAGCACGGTCGGCATACGGTGGCATATGTATGTATGTAATGTAATTTCCAAATTTCAGTCTGGATTTCGTGTAAATCATTCAACTGAAACATCATTACTACATGTAACTAATAGCTGGTTAGCAAACATGGATGCTGGTTTGATTAATGGTGTCCTATTTCTGGACCTTAAAAAGGCTTTTGACACGGTAAACCATAAAATTCTATTATCCAAATTGGGATGTTATGGGATTCGTGGATTGGCACTGTCATGGTTTCAATCATATCTTAGTAATAGGAAACAAATTTGCAAAGTAAATAACTCGCTATCAACCTTCCAAAATATTACATGCGTCATTCCACATGGATCTAACCTTGGGCCACTCCTGTTTACAATTTATATAAATGATCTGCCAAATAGTTTAGAAATAACTGAACCCGCCATGTTTGTTGATGATACAAGCTTAACTGCAACTGGAGAGTCTTCTTTTGAAATTGAATACAAATTGGGGGTGGAAATCCAAAACGTCAAGACTTGGTTAGATGCAAACAAATTAACATTAAATGAAGAAAACACCGAGTATATGCTAATCGGCTCAGGAAAGCGGTTAAAACAGATCAGAAATGACCCTATTATTAAAATTAGAGATCATATAATCAAACGGGTTTACAAGCAAAAGGTCTTAGGATTAGAAATAGACGATAAATTACAATGGACAAAACATGTTGAAAAACAAACTAAAAAGATTTCTTGTTCTATAGCTATGTTACGAAAAGTGAAGCCTTACGTACCTCAAGCAACACTACAGATGATGTATAAGTCATTTGTACTCCCCTATTTCAACTACTGTTCAACTATATGGTATGATGGTAATAAAATGCATGCCGAAAAAATGCTCAAATTGCAAAAGCGTGCAGCACGGGTCATTACCAGTTCGGGCTTAGAAGAACGATCTTCTGGAATTTTTCAAATGCTCAAATGGACAAAAATACAATCAATATTAAAAAAGAGAGAATTAGTGATGACATTTAAAGCACTTAGTATGGCTCCAGAATACTTAACACAGATGTTTCATGTCTCCGTTAACCAAACCTACCAACTACGAAATAATCATCAAAAGCTTTACCTACCAATACCTAAGACGAATTTTCTAAAACGAAGCTTCTCCTATAGAGGAGCAGTTCCATGGAACCAAATACCTGAAACTTCCATCAGTTCTTTTAAAAGATTAATAGATGGCTTGTGTTTTTGAATTGAGAGGTCATCCTGCCAAACCATATCAAAGCATTATGCCTTGCCGATGTAAATAGAGTATATTATGCATGATTGTTTTTTTAGTTAATAATTTTAATATTCTTATAATAATTTATAGTAAGTGTGCACGGCCCTTTGAAAAACAGACTTCTGAAAGGCTACCGTGAATAAATAAGCTTAAATAATAATAATAATAAAATAATAATAATAATAATGTATAAAAACCTTTCATGCTTCTTGCGAAAGCAACCGTTCGTAAGCTTTCGCAAGCGTTTTGAGCAAAAACTCTAAAATATTGGCAGTATTACAATAGCAGAATCTACTAAATTATCGTATAACATCGGAATTTTACCCCCAATATCTATTTCTTCATCAAAACTTGACTACAAAACAGTCAAAACTTCCAGCTCAGTTTTTCCGCCATATTTATCCTTGCCATATAAGACAACGTCGCCATAGTAACCACAACAAACTCGTTACCAGTTCATTGCATCACACATCGATCGGCGCGCCTGTAGCCGTTTCACTGCCCTATATATAAGCGCCCTGGCGACGAGCAAACGACAAGCGCGCCTGAATAGGAAAATTTGCGCATGCGTGCAACTTGCAGAATTAAAAACAACATGGGGGATCAAAATCACGAGCACGAGTTCAACCACTTTTTTTCTTCTGTTGGGGAGAACACAGCCATCGCAGCATCTCAATTATTACAAGATTATAATATTTACCCTGATACTCCACCCACTACAGCGTTTAATAGAAATTACCCTGTGTACGAATCTGAGATGTTTAATTTTGACCCTGTCTCCTGTTCTGAAGTTAAAAACATTATAATGTCCATGTCCACCAACAAGGCTCCAGGCAAAGATAAAGTAAGCATGCGCATTATTACCAGTCATCCTCGGACCATCAACAGATATTATTAATGCTTCACTGACGTCTTCTGAGTTCCCACAATCTTGGAAGGAGGCGGAAGTTATTCCACTAATAAAGGAGGGTGATCATGAACTACCATCCAACAATCGTCCCCTTTCCTTACTTATAGTTGTGTCAAAAATTTGCGAGAAGGTCGTTTCATGCCAATTTACAACATTTTTGTTCCATAATGAATGTCTGACATCGCATCAAAGCGGTAACAGAAGATATCATTCCTCGGAAACTTTGAACGTTTTGGTTGATGATATCATATTGGAAGCTATGGACCAGAAATCTGTAACTGCACTTTTACTATTAGATTTATCGAAGGCATTTGATAGCGTACATCACCCAACATTGCTTAACAAGCTAAGACACATTGGCGCATCTCCTGAGGTAGTGAAGTGGTTTGAAAGCTACTTAACGGGCAGATCACAATTTGTCCGTATTGGAACGTCTGTTTCGTCATCTCTTAACATCACTCACGGGGTTCCACAGGGTGCTATTTTATCTCCACTCTTGTTTAGCATCTATGTAAACGAGTTACCACTGGCCCCACGTCACAGCTCCCTTAATTCATATGTTGATGATTCAAAGATGTTCTTGTCATTTCGTGTTAATGACGCGACTGACACAAAAGAGTACCTTCAGGCAGATCTGAGCCGAGTAGCAAAATGCTGCTCTGAACTTCATCTACTTATTAACCCGAAGAAAACCAAGTATTTACTTATCGGAACACGACAACAGTTACAAAATCTCCCTACAGATATGTGCCTAAATTTTCTAGGTGAAACTATCAGGCCAGTTCCTTCAGCCAAGGATTTATGATTAATAAGGGACACCAACATGTCATACGATTGCCATATCACCGAATTAGTCTCCTCTTGCATGTCCAAATTGTCACAGATCAACCGAGTAAGCAAATGTTTTGATAAAGAAACTATACCCCTCTTGGTATCAGCATTGGTAATGAATAAACTCCTTTATTGCTCCTCTGCTTGGTCGAACACTTCGGCCAAAAATATTAACAAGCTACAACTGGTACAAAACTTTGCATGTAGGATCGTGACAAACAGGAAGAAGTTCGATCATATCTCACAAAAACTGCAATAACTGAATTGGCTTCCAGTTAAGGAACACTTACTTTTTAGAGATACAGTTTTGATGTACAAGTGTATTAACAATCTAGCCCCACCTTACTTGTGCAATAAATTTAGTAAACGATCAAATATACATGAATGTAACACTCGTAACCGAGAGCTCCTCCAAATACCGATTTATAATACCACCACTGGCCAGAGAACATTTCATTATAGAGGGGCGAAATTATGGAAACGAAACAAATGCCATCTTTGAGAAGTTTTAAGAATAAATTAAAGAAAGACTTGTTAGACAGACTGTATTCTTAGTCATAATGGACTATTTTAATAATAGAAGATTTTTCCTAGTAAATTTTTATATAAACCTTGTTTTTTAATCACCATTCCATGTAAATTAGTGTTGAAAAGCCTCTGAGGAACACAATAAAGTATGTATGTATGTATGTATGTATGTATGTATGTAGGCCTGATGGTGCGATTGTATCAGGTAGGGGCTGAAGTGCTTGACAGCAACAGCGATGGACAAGGCTTCTACCTCGCATGGCGGCCATCTGACTTGTGAGCCCCGTAACTTCGCACTAAAAAACCCTGCGACACGAAGCTTGCCCTTTCTGGTGACGTAAAGTGTGGCGCCTATTCCAGGACTGCAAATAGCTCCGTCAGTCACAATCCAAATTGATCTTATGGTTTTGGCAAGATTATAGTGCGAACTGCAACGAAGCAGGCTGTGCCCTACAGAATACTGTGTGAAGCTCGTCAGTCCACTGAATTTGTTCCTTCGATTGGCGGCCGGCCACAGCGTCGTCAAGTTTAGTGAGCAACGATGAACACCCTGGAATGACGCGAGATAGCACTTTAAGAGCTCCTATACATTATCTTTGTCGATACGCAGTCTCTGGCTTTTGGCACGAAGCGAAGGTCGCAATGCGGTGTGGACTTGCACTTAGTGTACCTGAATTCCATATCCATCCTAATATCGTTGTGGACTTAGGATTGATCACGGTTTTTAGTGCGGAGAGACGGAGATCAGATTTGTGCAAGGCTACCAAGACTCTCTTCCAATTTTGTAAAGGCTCTTCAAGGGTATTGCCTTGGCAATATAGGTCATCTGCGATTTTTGCAACGACCCCTTCTTCCAACAGATTACCCAGCACTCTGTATACACATGAACTCCTCAAGTGTGGTTTCCGAGCCCGGCATGCCCATAGCAGAACGCACGTATACTCTTACACCGCGAAAAGGAGTAGCAACACCACAATACTTCATAGACTCATGTGCGAGTGGAATCTGATAAGAGGCACTTGTTAGATCTGTAGCGATTAGGTGTTTCCATTGAGCTATGTGGCGAAGGGTAGAATCAACATTTGACATCAATGAAGGCTGTGGTTTACTATAACGACCAACATCTGCGAAGGCAGTTACAAGGCGGGAGCCACCGCTCGACTTCTTCACAAGAAATGACGGGTTCAGATACTCCACTGAAACATTGACATCTTCCGGACGCTTGAAAACACCCAACTTTTCAAGTTCATCAAACTTTGCCTGAAGCTCCTGCAACTGGTCACGGGCATATTTAGGTAGGCGACCCTTTCGCTGAGGTGGTTCCACAGGTCCCATGTTCACCTTAGCTTCAAATGAGCCTGCTGCTCCGTTATAGCCCTTGATATCTCGGTCGAAAACATCGTCATAGGACTCCATAAGTAAGGTAAACTTCCTTCTGACGTCTTGTGGCAGGAGGTTGTCTGGGTCAAGGCATACATCCGACGAAAACGTATGGGTTTGTAACGACTTAGGAGCTGGGTGGACTGCTAGTTTGTGATCACCACAGTTTAATTCAGGTGTATACACTGGCCGTACCTGACAAAAATGCTCGTTTCGCTTTAACGACCGAGGTTCTGACGAGAGATTTGGAATTCGTATTCTCCCTGCGACACTTGACACTATGTTGGGACAGGGCCACAATTGGGATGCTGTTAATCTCTTTACACTGGGGGCATCAATTCGAGGCTCTAAGGCATACTCTGTATCTGCTGGAATATCACCTGGTAGCTCTATCTCAACGAATTCACCAGGCCAGACCGTCGTTGATGTTGGAGGGGCACGGAGCACCAATGCACGGCGTGCTGCTGCGGTTGATGCTTGAGATTGCACCGATCCATATGTATAGGCTGAACCATTACTAAGTATTACTTGTCGCTTTGCTGGGCGGACTGCAACGTCATTGGTTTCCATGAAAGGTGTACCTGCCAATACATCCACGTCCAGGTTCTCAATCACCAGTCCTTCAAAGATGAATTCTTTGCCATCACGGTGAAATGAAAGGCGTGTCTCGCCAACAACATGAAGAGGGGATGAACCATCTGCCTGGTGGACTGATTGGGAACTCTCTGCTACACGACAACCGAGGCGCTGAACCGTTCGGTGGCGAATCATGTTCCCAGTTGCTCCGCTATCTATTGTTATACGCACTGGATGATGGTCATAGAACATGTCCACATATGGGGATTGTCGAGTCTGAATGCGGTAGGCTCTGGAACTGGTCTTCGGCTCTTCATCTCTCAGATCACAAGCGGGATCAGCTCGATTTATGCTACTCTCGGATTCGGGGATATCTTCTAAAATCTCCGCAATCTGTCTGGCTTTTACCATGTATCTGCGATCTTGGTCTGGCAGGAAGTTACATTCACTCAAAAAGTGGCTGCTGTTAGTGCGGCCAGCTTGTTTGCAAAGGGGACATGACTTAAGTGGTCGATTTGATCTGGTATTTGGTCTAGCAAGCAGTCTCTCACTACCAGGCTTTCGATAGCTGCTAACTGCTGTACGCATTATTTTGGCATCATCAGCTGAATGAATTTCCTCCAGCAATGAGGACAGGGCCTGTGATATCTCTGGTTTGATAGACGCCAGTGTTCGTGATCTTAACTCTGTGCCGTACCTTTGTTTTACTAATTTTGGTAACTCAGGGTTGATAAGTCTGAGCCAAGTGAGAACAATAAGATTTTCAACAGTTGGTGATAACTCCTCATCTTCAGCAAGCTGCACCCCATGGTGGGAGAGGCTGTTAGCTCGAAGTAAACAGTCCTCGACAAAGGCTACTAATCTCTGGTATAGGTCTTCAGGACGCTCGTCTGTTTCTAAGCGTAGATTTGCGAAATCAAGAAAGTGTGCTCCTGTCACTTGGAAACCAAAGTGTTCTCGTATTGTATTCCAGATAGACTGTATAGAGGTTGAATTTTTTACCAAAGTGTTCCTAGATATGATTGGGCAATAATTTGCTATTTGACCAAGCATAAGTTCCAAGAAATTTACTTTCTGTTGGGCTGTTTGACGACTGTTCTGGGCAACGGCTTCGCCGTCATCTGTAAACCCACGTAAAGGCTGAGCCCTAGTCTTCTTTCCCCACGTAGCGTCTTCGGCCAGGAATGGTGCGAAATTGCTGTCAAGTGACAAAGTGTAGATTAAATTCTGCCTCCAGTTTTCAAAGCTAGTTATAGTCTCGATCTTTGAAAGGCACCATTGCTTTGGAGCTCGGTGAGTACTAGCCATAACTGCTACTATTAATCCGATGGACGTGCTTTACAGCGAAATATTCGAAGTGTTGACTTAAATTGTAATTTCAGAGTTAGACATAGATCGGCATTTAACACTCAGTTGTTTCCTGACGCCGATAACTTGGCGTAAGTTCAACCGCGCTGCCACCACGCCAGTTAATAAGACGATAAGTCATACACACAATCCATAGATAGAAATATATTTAAACAAGAGGCAACTTTTTCATTCAAGGAGCCAAATTAATACAAGTAAACAAAACATGCGCTAGACTGTATAAACGTCACCGTCACTCGCGGGCGCATATCAAAGGCAATACGTCATGTAATACTGGCGCAGATTAAATTTTAACAGATGGTTAGCGTTAACCCAGCTTTGAACAACCGGCCCCAGAAGTGGAGTTCCTTCACTGGGTTCCTTGGTGCCAGAGGTTGTTCCACACTCGCAGAAATACCGTTTAACATAAGCCGCGAACTAGTCAGTTGCTATTTGACGTTACTGTTTGCGAGCGTGGTATAATCTCTGGCACTCAAGGAAGAAGTCTGGTTGTATTTCTAGCCAATCAGGAAAAGTCAGTCATGCTGATAGGAAACACTGCTTCGGGTCCTTTTGGCTTCATTTAGTTCATTTTGGCTTTATTGTAACTAGTAATGCAGGCAGGGGCGATATGCCCGGGTAAATTCGCGCTTCTCTACAATTGGGGACCCTACATCTTCTCTACAATTGGAGCTGACTTTCTCTACAATACAGCTATCACGGAACGCGAAAACTCAGCTTTCTACAGTTTACCACACTTCTGGTTTTGAAAAAAATGTGCACGTGAGTTTTGAAAATATAGATAGAAAGTCTTGCAAAACAGCAGGTGTTCAAAACCGGAAGTGTGGTAATATAAAAATCGGGCATTTAAGTTGTATACTTTTTCGCTATTTACTGCATTGTAAATCTTAGCAAAATATGAGTATCACAGTTTTAGTGAATGGATATAGGAAATGCAGACAACGGGGTTTATATCACAGTCAATCTCTTAAAGCCCGTTTTTGTATTTTTTTTGTGACGTCACCAGGAGGCTTTATGCATTAAAGGTCGGTGTTACTAATAGCGATATCCATCCCAATCTCGTACCCAGAGCCATCGTTGAGTGGCTCTGGGTATGAGAGTGTATCCATTCCTGAATACAGGTAGTTTTTAACTAGCAACTAATTTTTTTTTTGCTGACAAGTCAAAAACGAACCTAAAGTAAAGCCCGTGTTGCAGTGTGGCATCGTTAGCTGTTTTTATCACGCGAAACTACAATCATGGCCAAAACGTTGTGGACAATAATCGACAGACATTGGCCTCGAATGGCGTTTCTCTAAATAAATATCTCCAGCTCCCCCAAGTCAATGCTGAATGGAATTTTTCTTCAGATGAAAAGTGTAGATAATGCGGATATATACAACATTGAAGGGGCGGGGAGTGGGTATGTGTATGCGTATAGTAAAGTGGATTACGTTTCCTTATGAAGTTTGACCAGAAGTCTGGATTGTAGCTAGTAAATGAAAAAGCAATGTGACTGGTTGGCGACAAAATTTGCCGCAATTAGTTTCTGTTTTAATCGTGATTTCTGTCACAATGGATCATAAAAACACTATTCAACTGTCACTAACAGTTTTATTTTTTGTTGGCTTCGCGCGAAATATTTTGCTTAGTGGAAAATTGGCTTAACACGATCATACGTTTGTGATCATATACGTCATCGAAGATATTTTAGGATTGAGTTTTAGTATTTTAATGTTGTAATGAGATTCGGCACTCTCTACAAACAGCTTGATCCAAGCCCGCGAGCTTTGCAGGCTACATGTCACCTGGAAGCATGGATATTCCGAGGAACCCATCTTCTTCACAAAATTATAAATTTTATTGAGAAACACCAACATCTTGATAATCTTTTCCAGAATGTGGTACCGCAACAAACAACAACAATTCGGTCCCGCCCTTAGGCGCAAGTAGTCTATCTTCAAAACTAAAAATTACATCAAACTCGGAGATATAATTTATTAAATTTTTATGCCCTTTTCAAATCACAAAGAACCCATTTTAGCACTTAACGGGGCTATTTATGTAAATAACCAATCACATAAATACCAAACTTCGTTACAAAGCTTTTCTGGGAATGAGGTTGGTTAGCGGGTATTCATTAAACTTAAAATTAGTATTTTGCTGCTTGCCCTCAGGCATTCATTTAATGTCCCCCCCCCCCCAATGGATGATTTTTTGATGGGTGACTACAAAGTCATTTCTGAGAGGGGTTAAGCCTGTTGGCATTCTTTGATCTCTGCAATTTTTCTGAGGGCTAAGGGGAAAATTTACAAATTTCTCAGAGGGGTTTTCTGTCGGCACTTTCATCTTTTTTCTTAGTTTAAGATTTTCTTGTTAAAATTTTATCTTATTAAGACTTCATCCATAGGGGGGAGGGGGAGGAGATGGATATTAAATGGAATGGCCCTATATTGACATTAACATAAACAGTTATGACTTGTGTGTCTTTTGTTGAACATGGTCGTGTACATGACTTAGTCAGGTTCACAGGTTGTTAATGTTGCCCTGGTTGTACACGACTTAGTCTGGTTGTTAGTGTTTAAGATGGTCCTGGAACGTTCAATGTAAAGACGTCCATCCTGGCGCGTTTAATTTTCCAGTCTTATTTCTTTCAAGAAATTGTGCGTGATTTGGTGCGATTGCCCTGCCACAGCTAGGGCATGTTCATTCAAATTGTTTATCGTGTGCCTGTCAGTGTCTGTGTCTGTGTCTGTGCTCGTGTACTTTTACGTTCATATATTTCTGTCTATGTATTGTATGTTGTACATTTAGTTTATATGTCTCTTTCTTTGTTCCTTTCTTCCTTCTCTTCTTTTAACTATACTGAACTGATGTTAGTTTGTAAACTTGAAATAGTTTTTGTACGGTCAGTTTTTAATTAATGTGTTGTAATCTCAATTTTTGCAAAGAAATAAATCGTACATACAGTGTTTCTTTGTATGGGTATATGTAAATGTATTTATTAGTTTTCAGATATATTTAACGTTTTAGTATTTGTCTGTGGATCCAAAGCAGCACTTTCCTTGCGATAGTAACCCCTAGTATTTAAACATATTTTAAACGTTTTTTCATTTAAACCTATTTAGCGTTTATAAAAACATATTTAAATATGTTTTTGTACTTAAACATATTTAAACATTAGTTTTTGTACTGCTGTACTAAAGGCGCCCGTTCTCCACTAGGCGAATTTTTTCGCGGGACGCGAAACGAAAAACAAATCTTGGCAATTGGCAACTACAATCGAGTACGAGCTGTAGTTGCACTGGAGGCAGACTTGGTCAATAACGATATAGATGTATGTGTGGTGAGCGAGAGTCACCTGAAACCTGAAATGCCAGATGCTGTGGTGACCATTCACAATTATTCAATATTTAGAAGAGATAGAAGTTGGGAAGGACGCGATATGAGAGCAAAAGGAAGGGTAGCAATATATGTTCGGAACAACTTAAAAGTTATTGATATTTATCGATCCAGTTTGTACGAACTTATTGGTGTCACACTTCTGTTACCTACAGGAAACCGCATGTTGATATATGGCCTTTATCACCCACCTATAGGCACAATTATCTGGAGAGCGACTTATTGGATTATTTGATAAATATTTCCGACGACGTTCTGGACAAATATCCAGACACTGTAATTGTTTGTGGAGGGGATTTGAACAGTTTGGACATAAAACACCTTGAGGAACTATCAGGATGGGATGCAATGGTCGACTTTTCAACAAGGGGTAACGCATGTTTGGACAACTGCCTTACAAATAGAATAGATTTGTTCTCAAAATGTTATCCTTTCCATATGTTAACTAAAACAGACCACATAGGGGTTATTTTACCAACAGGAACGAAACTAAAACCTATGCGCCGAAAGGTTGAATTTCGGGATTGTAGAAAGCATCGAAAGGAAGATTTCCACAAAGCTTTAGCAGAAGAAGATTGGGAGGATGTATCGCAGTCCACGAATGTAAATGACGCTGTGAATTGTCTTGAACGTAAGATCATGGATCATTTGAATAAATGTATGCCCACAAAAACAGTCTCAATTTCGTCACGTGACCCTTACTGGATGAGTCCTTTAATTAAATCTTTGCTAAAAGCTAAATCCAGAATTGCTCGGTCGCAAAAGGATAGACTCAGTTTAATTAACAAAAGGATTTCTGATGTCATTTGTCTAAACAGAAGAAATTTTAGGGCCTTGGTGGGTAGTAGAACTTGGTGGAGAAAGACGAATGATATTTCTCAGCGAAATGCATCGTCATCAAGAGTTACTTTAGATAATGCATCACTTACAAGATTAAATCGCTACTTTGGCGAACTCTGCCACGATGATAGTATGTCGAACCGACGCTCTCAATTATTGGTGATGAAGTAGATATTCCTAGCTTCACGGAACAGCAGGTATGGAATGCCTTGAAAAGAATAAAGAGGACAGCAACAGGTCCCGATTATATTCCCTATTGGGTTTGGAGTGATCATGCTGAAATTCTAACTGAAGTTATAACTAACGTCTGGAATTTGTCCCTTTCATCACATACTTGGCCAGATTCATGGAAAAGAGCGAATATTAACCCTCTTGCAAAGGTTGATTTACCAAAGGAAGATGGTGACTTTCGTGGAATAAATATTACACCTGTAATTGCGAGGACCTTCGAAAAGCTCGTTTATAATAGTCAGGTCAAGTCGACAGTTGAGGAAATTTTATCCCCAACGCAATTTGCGTACAGGCAGGGGGGGGGGGAGTTGTACAAACGCTCTGTTAACTATTCAGAACAAAGTACTCAGATTCTTAGATAGAGCGAACTGCAAAGCAGTTAGACTATTTTCTATGGATTTTAGCAAGGCTTTCGACTCCGTGAAACATTCACTTCTCTCGGAAAAGTTAAAAAATGTGCCACTCAACCCTTATATCATAAATTGGTATTTAAATTTTCTAAAGAATAGAAAGCAAAGAGTCGTTTGTAACGATTTTTGTGGAGAATGGATGGATGTTAATAAGGGTACAACACAGGGGAGAGTAAGTGGCCCCTACCTTTTTAATATTTTCCTAAATGATTTAGAGGTGGACATAGACGGCGAGAACGCTCTTTTTAAATATGCGGACGATTCAAATATAATAGTGCCAGTTTGGAGTGACGGTCCTGATACATTAACAGATACAGTTGGACAATTCCTGAGCTGGTCTGACGATAATTTTCTGACTTGTAACCCTCGTAAATGTAAAGAGCTTATCATCCGGAAGAAGGGATATAATGATCAACTCGACAATGTTTATAATATACCCCAATGCAAAGAACTTCCCATTTTAGGTACTATTTTTCAAGACAATCTCAAGTTCACCACGTCATGTGCGAGGTAAATTGGTCAAAGCAAACGAATGCTTGTACGTTATACGAACACTCAGGGCAGAAGGCTATAGCCAATGTGAGATAGATTATCTATTTAAGACCCTAGTAATATCTACTATAATAACCAGGGGCGGACTGGCTACCTCAAGGGGGCCCGGGCGATTTGGTTAGATGGGGGCCCTGACCCCCCCCCAAAAAAAAATTACCTTATCCTATTTTAACTTTTAGTAGGCACTTTCATCATTAGTCATTGATCTGCAAAAATGTCATTGGTTTATAAAAGTAACTTACGCAAATGAGTTATAAATGAAATATGAATTTATGTTCTTAACGTCAAAATGGAGAAAGAAAATTATTGTTCATGATCACTCTTTAATAATGTCTTCATGGCATTAGCCGTCTCAGTGCTAAGGAACTGTTGGCAAACTGGTTGATGATCTGTTCATTTGATATGTCATTGATCATCTATTTATGCGTGTACGTCAGGATAAGTGCCTCTAATTTTTCCTGCCCAATGTTGTTTCTTAATATAAATTTAAGCGTCAAGAAACTTCTTTTAAATTCGACTTGCGTTACACTAAGCGGTACTAAATACTGATAAGCTGCATATAGTTCGGAATACGTAGATAAGTTGAGACCATATTCATAAAAGCGTTTGAAATCGCAGCTGAAACATGGCCTGCAAGACTTGTTTCTGCATGAATTGGGTCAATATGATTTCCAATCTTTTCACAAAGAATCTAATGCATTTTGAAGCAGCCTCTGTCTTCTGCATTCATCGAATTGGCAAGGGTCCAGACAGGAAACATCTTTGTAAAGTCCTTGTGGTTCTCAAATCTACTATTGGTGCTTGTTACAATTTGATAATTATGACATTGAATACATTCACTTGATAGTCCTCGTGAGCATCCATCGCCCTATTGTCAGTGTCATATGCATCCTTTTCACCGAAATGTAGTTTCCTTTTTCTAATTCTTTTTGTCCCTTTGGATAGTAGACTTTCTTCTACTGCAACATTGGTATCAAAGCAAACCCGTTTGCTCTTGGCTTTTTTTGCGAACTGGATGTGGCAATATTCAGGACAGTTGGAAAATCTCTGCTGATCATTTCAAGTTTTCCAATAGCAAATTGAACCATTCTCAATGCTTGAAGAAGATTTAAGCCTCACGTTTGAAGGCATTCGGAGAGTGGTGTTGTAATTGAAAAGTTGCCCAGTTGCTTCCTGCTTTTCATGATTTGGAGCTTCTAGCAATTTATTTAAATGACATTTAAGCTAATTTGAAGGGGCCCAAAACGGCCTTACAGGCAAGGGGCCCACCGGGCGTTTGCCCGGTGAGCCCGACCTGCCAGTCCGCCCCTGACTATAACGTTTGGCCTGTCCGTGTTGTGAACGGTTAAATTGTCGCCGCTATTTTTGTCATAGCGAACAATATGTCAGACATGCGCAAACGAGACGTTTTTTGTTGGTTTCATGAATCGAATCGAAAAACACGTTTAAAACGACTTTCAACTTATATTTTATAGTTTATAGTTTAGAAATAAAGTTTATATTACATTTAACTGCGACGTGCAGTACATGGCGCCCAACGTAAAGCATTTTAACCGAAGAAACAACGTTTAATTTATATTTTGACGACAAAATATGAGCGAGACCATTGAGCGAAAACGTGCAATTCGCTCTGCGAATCGAGGGGTTCTTACGAAGTATATGAAAGAATCGATAGAGCATATGAATGGAGACATAGATCAATCTAAACTAGATCGTTTAACAACGCTGGACAAGCTCCTCAACGAAAAATTAGCTTTAGTAAAAAAGCTTGACGACGAAATTCTAGAAGAATGCGACATAAAAGACATTGAAAAAGATATCGAAGAATCTGAGGAAATAACGTCAAAAGTTTACGAAATAAAGAATAAAATCGAGAAATTATGTGCAAAAGAACACCAAGTACAATCGGTACCTGTGGCACATCAAAACACGACGATTAGTGAGCCTTTGAACAGTCAGCCGTCGTTGGCGGAAATTTCGACCGAATCTGTTAGTGGACACTTAAACCAAGAATCATATCAAGTATCTATGGCCCAATTTGTACCAGAAACCCGATTGCCAAAATTATCCTTGTTGAAAGTCAATGGTGA